GGCGGTATTTTTCCCGGACATGTTCGGCTTTTTGGCAGTTCCCCCCAGACGGGGGTTTGATTACCAAAAAGCCAGACATGTCCGGGAAAAACCGGACGTATGGTAACCCTAAGTAATTAGTTGATTCCCAAACCTGACTACAATATTCTTCTCTGTTCACAATTATTGTTTCTCATCTACTCTTAGGAGGAAAATGCTTAATAAAATTAGGAACCAAATTAAAGAAACTTCTTCATATAATTGGCTTTGACTTATGAAGCAACAAGAAAGAAATCAAACTGAGTTGCTAAATTTCTGACAAGTTTCTCTCAGAAGCACAGGTCCCTCAGAACAAAGCCAAATTTAAGCAGGCAACATGTTTTCTTTTCTTCAGACAATTTGGATTAATCAAAAATAGATTAGGTGCTGATCATTCAAGAAATATATGCATCATTATTCACATGTCTAATAGACTTAATTCCCTTGCTGCTCCAGTCTTGATGCTTGGCATTTGTTCTGAGCCCTTCAGTGGTTCAGATTTTGATTACAATTTGTAAAGTTAGTTTTTATTCACTACCAAAACTCAATTGTGAGCATTTAATTGAAATCTTTCTGAACTCTGGATGCATTGGTTAGAGGCACTTCTGTCTTGCCTGCCTTTCTTCCCTGGTTGTGGTTGTTGCTCTGGAGCCTGCCTACTTTGCTATTCAGAAGAATTCCAATGCTTGGAGTATTTGATTTAATCAAACAGAATTGAGGCCAGCGTGGTGTACTGTGCCTCTTCAGTCTACTTGGTTATTAGTCTCTAACATGAACACAATTTTCTCTTGTTTCTTTAATTTTTTTCTTCATCTCTAGCTACACAGTTAGTCTAGATCTGAGGTTTTCCTGTTAAAACACCCTTTGCTGGCCTTTTTGATTCTATTGTTCTAAAATAGAATCCCTTGACTATCCAATTACCTCAGTGCTGAGGACTAATTAGATAATGATTGTTCGTCTGATGGGGGTCAAGTAGTGTTATCCTTCAGGTAATATGTATTCTCAGGGTGTTACTATATTGCTCTCTCTGGCCTGGTGCACGCTAGAAACATTCTTTGCTGCTACCAAATCTGTGTGAGCAATGAGTTGAGCACTGATTTAGCTGCAAGTGTAGATCAGAATAAAATAGTGTTCAGCACCATTTCAGAAGAGAAGGTTTTAACCATAGTTTTCTGAAATGTGCTGAGTGGTGCTTGTTCCTGGTCAGCTAAACAGTATATAGTTGGATTGGTGTTAAACCTGTCTGTTGCTAACACTGATTAGAATTTGCACACAGACAGCCAAGGTTCCTAATGTGGTTTCTGTAAAAGTACAAAATTCTAAAATCTGCATGAAAATAACTTCTGAAATAAGGTAGATTCTCCAGTATTTCTCTTCCCCCCCCTCCCCCCCGCCATAGTTTACTTTGGCAAGCCAGTTTATTGGTGAAGAATAATCTGTCTAGGCCTAAATCCTTCCCTCTTTACCCAAATCAGGCTGGTCTAGTACCTGATTTGGAAAGCAGACCTTAAACTACAAACCAAAAAAGAAGTTTGGAAAAATATATAGCTCAGCTTCTTCAAAGCCTCCAAAAAGTTTTCACTGTTTTTAAATTTTAAAGACTCTTTTGGACCCTAATAAAATTGCACAGTCATCTAGGCACCTTTAAAATTTCTATTAGAACGCTCATCAAGGCTGTGATTACCATTAGATGGATGCTATCCTCACTGGTTTATGAAATCTGTTCTGTCTGAAGACACTGCTAGTTCATGCACATAAAGAAAAAATTGTTTTTATTTTGAAACTTGTAGTGTAATACTGGATAGTTAACAATCTGTTCTACCAGTTTGATCCACTCCTTTTCATGCACACATCAGAGAGAAAAAATCCCCTGCAAATCTCATCTATAGCCCAAACTGGGCTCCTATCCATCTCCTCTCTCTCCTGCAGCTAAAGATGCTCTGACGGTTTAATTCTAATTAGGACTTGCTATTTTCATATTCAAAGGAAAATTACTGAGACTTAGTTAAAACACCTTAAATAACTAACTAACTTAACCTTTTTCAAAACTCTGCTTCAGTATTTATTTAGTGAATAGGTGTGTAATCTCTCTTGGTTCTATCTTTGATATTTTCCAGTTAATTGGTGGGGGGAGGGAGGGAAACCAGTTTGATGCAGAGTAGGCTGGAAAGCAGTTAAAACCCAAGGGTTTCAAGGTTGTTCTATATACTTAGAAATTACTCTGATTAATGTAGTCATTACATCAACTGTTTTCATACGTTAACAGCTCATAGTTCTTCTGAATACTATTTCCATTGTTTTTTAATGGAAAGGTGGATTCATTTATCCCACTTCACATTATCAAATTGTCAGGATGGTAGCTTGCTGTCTGATTTTAGTATATTTACAGTGTTGTAACTGTGTTGGTCCCAGGCTATGGGAGACGCAAGGGTGGGTGAGGTAATATCTTTAATGGACCAACTTCTCTTGGTGAAAGAGAGAACTTTTGAGTTCCATCTGAAGCCTGAGGTCACCTGAAGAAGAGCTCTGTGGAGCTCAAAAGCTTGTTTCTTTCACCAACAGAAGTTGCTCTAGTAAAAGACATTACCACCTTGTCTCCCTTAGCATATTTTAGACATTTAAAAAATGATTACTCTGATGTTGTGTATTAATTTTTATCTTCCTCCTGCTTAAGAGAATTCAGTGACCTGTTTTACTTATTTTACTTTCTATTGGCGTTTTTTCCAATCCTATACTTTTAAATGCCCACCAAACCTAGCGTCAGTACATATATTAACTTACTATTTTTATGTTCTCTTGCATTTTCAGTGATATTGACTTAGTTGTGTTTGGAAAATGGGAGACTTTGCCTCTGTGGACCCTGGAAGAGGCTCTTAGAAAGCACAATGTAGCAGATGAAGGTTCAGTAAAGGTTCTAGACAAAGCAACTGTAAGTCTTTTTCCAGTTTAATATCTTCAGGTATACTTCTACTTTGTAAAATAGTATCATTTTACTCAGACTTTGCTTTGTGATGGTCGGAATCAAATCTGCTTATTTAGTGACAATTTTATTACTCATAATGTGTCTTGTAATTTGTTTAATCTATGGACAGATTTGCTGTGATATTTGTGGATTTGTCTAAATTGCACTGCAAACCCGGGTTTGTGGACCCAACCTTGAGGAGTTGGTGTTTGAGCCGGGTCTTAAGCTTCTGTGCTGCATTGTAAACCTGGGCTTACAGTTACTAGACTTGGGTCTCACAGCCATACTAATGCATCCATACGTCACTATACAGACCACCTGACTCTGTCTGTGACTTGAGCTGCATCCACACTGCAAAATGACAGAGCTTGGACCCCAAACCACAGCAAAACTTGGGCTCTGACCCATCCCCTTAGCAGGGTCCTAGAACTTGGCTTCTGAGTGCTTGCTGGCCCAAGTCAGACTGATTTCTATGTGGATGTAAAGGGCGCTTGGGCTCAAACCTGAGTGGGAGCCCAGAATTAGTGTGCAGTGTAAACCTACACTGTCTCTCTTTCCTCTTCTCATTAAGAATGTCTGCATGAAATCAGGGATCTTTAATTGTTGTGCATTTGTCGCCCTCTGGTGTTTGCTTCTCACAAGAAATTATACTGTTTTGACTTCACAACTACCGTATATACTTGTTCATAAGGCAAATTTTTTAGTAAAAAAGGGAAGCACCAGAGAAGGGGGTTGGCTTATAAACGGGTATAGAGGGGGAGAGGTGGGACACAACCCCTCCCCCCAACAGAGGAAGGGAAGAGGCGGGGCCAGAGTCTCTCCACTTCTGGCCACACTGCTCTCCCCCCAGCCTCTGAAGCAGCTGCAGCTTTGGGGCTGGCAGGCTGCAGCCATTCCGCCCCTCCCTTCCCCCCCCCGAGCAGGCTGTGGCCGCGCCACCCGGCGCAGCCCACCAGAACACGCTGTGGCCGTGCCGCCCGGCCCAGCCTGCTGGAACATGCTGCGGCCACGCCGCCTAGTCTGGCCCGCCGGAGCAGGCTGCGGCCACGCTGCCCACCCTGACGGAGCAGCTCCAGCCAGGCCAGAGACATCCTCCCCAGATAAGGTGGGAAGGGATGAGATGGGGAGAGTGTGGAGGTCCCGATCTAGAGGTGGGGTAGTGGGGGGTGGTCACAGGGGTTACTCCCCTGACTCCCAGCTTCTCTCCCCCCTTCCCCCCCCCCCAAAAAAAAATTTCCCCGCCAGTTGCTGTCCTGGCCCGTCGGGGTAAGCAACTGGCGCGCTGGGACACTTTGTTTACTTGAGTGTCCGCAGGAATAGAGGTAAACCTAAGGTAAACAAACCATCTCGGCTCACCAGCAGCTTATCCTGATGGCCCGGGAGCCAAAGTTTGCTGACCCCTCAATTATAGGGTCGGCTTTTGAATGGGTCCTAAAAATTTTCCATTTTTACTTATCCATCTTGGGAGGGTCGGCTTATAAACAAACTGGCTTATGATCGAGTATATACGGTACTCACTTTACAGCATTTTAAAATGTTTCAGAACAGTGTTATGCATAACAGATTTTAAATTGAAAATAGTTTCAGTATGAGTTAAAAATCATTCCCAATTCAATTAAATGTATAAAAAAGGGGTGAGATCTCTAAATTCACAGCGCTCCTGCAATCTTTCTCTCTCCCTCCCTTCCTTCTACAAATCTATAAAACAGTTCAAATTTGCTAGTGTAGGTATTTGCACATCATCTTTTAGTAATGAAGCTAAATATATCTTGGAAACTTAGTAGATAGTTAAATATTAACTTTATCTCTTGCTCTTTTGTCAGGTACCTATTATTAAACTGACAGATTCCTTCACTGAAGTAAAAGTCGATATCAGCTTTAATGTACAGAATGGGGTTAAAGCAGCCCAACTCATCAGAGATTTTATCAAGGTTAGATAATGCTTTATGCTAGCACTATGGAGTTGTACATTGATAATTCACTTTATAATAAGAATGGGGTAAAGTAAAATGCAGAATCAAATATTCAAACATTCTACTTCTTTATCCTTTGTCAGTCTGGAACCAAAATATTGCCACTCTTAAGGCTCAAACAAAGTGAAGAACATGTTGCTATCTAAACAATCTGGAATTAAATATTCATGGAAAGTATACAGAGAAATTCTAACTGTATGTTTGCAAGAGAAGGTGCATTAGCATCAATATTAAATGTTGTGTCTTATTGAGAGTTCAGTTCCTTTATTGCTCATACAGCAGATAATCAGGCTCTATTAATCAAAGATAGATCAGCATAATATAGAGTTTATACGTTATCAAAATACATCTTCACTCTGTTCTAAATTATGAGCTTAACTGTGCTCATATTTGTTTCCCCTTGTTTACAACAGATTGGAGACACCTTTTCTTTTTCTAGGTTTTGTACGTATTTCAGATATTAGTAGACTGTAGAGTACAAGTAGCCTTAGACCACTGAGACATTTGCAGTAACTATACTAGTACACTGTTCATACTCGATAAAATTTACCAGAGCACACATCTTGCTTCTGAGGGATTCTGCATGTACAAAGAAAAAAGTTTACAACAATTTGACTGGTAGTGAATTTCCACAGTAAAGCTTAGCATGAGTACAAGGCATTCTGGTAATACAGTTCATAATTATATAGCTTAACCTACATAAAAAGTATTCTGGAAATATATGATATTGGCTAACTATCTTAACTACTTTAGTTATTCATGCCTGCAATGATTAATACCAGAGGTTGGTGCAGAAAGCCAAAATAATTGTGTCAGGCTTGTATAGTATTAGTAAATATGGCATTCATTATTTAATTGAAAAATGACATATTAAGTCATGAAAATGATGAGAACAAATCTATTTCCGTTATTTTTGTTTTTTGACTTAGTCTACAGAGTCTAACTGTCTGGTAGGTTTAATAGGTTTGGATATTAAAACCTTGTGCAAAATCTTTGAACTTACTTCCTTTCCCCTTTCTCTTATTCAGACCTTTAGACATACATGATAAGCCTCTTTTGGTAAAGCCAAAAAATATATAATATATCTGCTAGCTTGCCCTGTCTGTTCTATGTAGATACACAGAGAGATGCACTTCAGTCTCATTGAGTGTTGGCTATTCCTTCTTTAATGGTAACTGCTTTATTATATTTTCTTTCTTTAATCAAAACTTGTTAACCATGGTCAACAGTTGAAATGGATACTTCTACCGAGACTGACCTTAAGTATTTGTATGCAGTGTTGTAGCCATGCTGGTCCCAGGATATTAGGGAGACAAGGTGGGTGAGGTAATATCTTTTACTGGATCTACTTCTGTTGGTGAGAAAGACAAGCTTTCAAGCTTATTCCTGTGTAAGCTTGAAAGCTTGTCTCTCTCACCAACAGAAGTTGGTCCAATAATAGATATTACCTCACCCACCTAGTCTCTAACTATTTGAATAGTTATAACCTCAGAGCAAAATTCTTAGATCTTTCGACTCAGTAAAGCTTTTTGCATGGGTGAGGCAAGCAGGATTTAACCCTTAATGTTAAAAATTGATAGTATAGTTCTGCTGTAGTAACATCAGGTTGTGAGCCAAATTTTCAGACCTCAGGGGTTTCAATAGCTGACGAGAATGTTAGCATTACCTTTTGCTTGCTAAGGCTCCAATTTTACAAACGCTTATGCATGCGCTTAACTCAGAGGCATGTGAGTAGCCCCATTGGCTTCCACGAGACTATTCCAGTTACTGAAGTTGTGCATATGTGTTACAAGATAGGGTTCTTGCCTTTAAACTAGGGGAAGAGCATAGAAATGTATTTAAACATCTGTTCCAAAACTGTTCATGATCTTCCACCGGAAGAATTATTCTTTGAGTACGGTATTTGTCCACATGGATCACACTCTTAAGGGTGCATGTGCCCCAGGAGCACAAGATTGGATTCTTTTGTACCTGTCTCCTACACATCCTCATACTCCACCCCAACCAAGGGCCCAGCTGCCTCTCAGATTTTTCTTAACTCCTGTGGCAGAATGATGGATCTTAGCTGTGTCCACTTAGAACCCTGTAGCTCTCCTCTATTAGAGTTAGGATTAATGTGTGTTTAGTTTAGTACTATTTAGCCTGTTGGCAAAAAATATAAAATAATAATTAGAAAATATGAGCATCCTCTGTACTGAGGCATTGACTTCATGGATGAAGCAAAATCTGAGCTTTAAGTCCTGCCCTACCTGTGAGCTGGCTATGCCCAAATGAATGGGCATCCTAAATACCACTTTTTGCCTTAGAGAAGACCACGTTCCTGACAAATGTTCCATCTATAGATCTTTCTTCAAACTAGAAGCCTGAGATGCTCACCTGAAATTATTTCTACCAGAGCGATCAACGAGGGCACTTCTGACTCAGAGAATCGTGAGTCAGAATGTGGTTCTGCTGCTCATAAACAGCATTTGACCTGTTCTCCAGGAAGCCAGGGTGACACCTCAGGTACCTGGGTCTCCACAGCTACCAGAAGACCTCCTGCCTTGTCTCTAGGTACCAAAGAATCAGTATAGGCCTCGAGGAGTCAGTCAGTTTCTCCTGCTGACCATGGCAGAAAGGGGCATAGTTCTAAGGCCACAGCACAGATCACTTTCCCTGGTACTGTCAAAGAGGAGACCAAAGAGTCGTCATACTTGTCACTCTGCCACTGCTCTTCCTTCAAAGCCTGATCCACACTGCAGATCAGCTTTACTGCCTGATGCATGCTCTTTTGCACGCGACGCATCAGTGTCAATCTTCACAGTATCACTTTCCTCCGTACATGCAGTCTCAGTACAGTGTACATTTATAATTTCTAGAGACTTAGCTATTAGGGCATAACTACCTCTTCAACAGTAGTTATAATCAACCTGGCACTTACAGCATGAACGTGCAGGTTGTAGGTCCCTTAGAAGTCCTGTCCTCTCTACGCTGGTGAAAAGACCTGCAAAAAGTCTACCAAGGCATCATATTCATGTTCCCATCTCCCACCAAAACTCTGTTAACAGATGGTTCTAAACAAGACTGGGGGCACTCCTAGACAGTCTTCAGATAAAAGGTTGATGATCCCCAACAGACTCTTATCTATACATGGACTGGAATTCGATATATTTAGCATGAGGATCTTTCCTACTACCATTCAAGACCTGATGGACTACAGTGACACAGTATGTCAACAGAAAGGGTAGAGTGACATTATCTGTTCTCTGACAACAGGCGGTTTCATCTACACGACTAGTGCACACAACACTAAATCAGTCTCATAGCTCTACACTACAAGGTATTCAGAGGAATCTGGCGGACTGTTTTACAAGTTATGAGTAGACTTTCAAAGACAGTCCTCAATCAAGTCTTCCTCAAATGAGGTTTCCAACCACAGACCTGTTTGCCACCAACTTGAATAAGAAATGCTTGGCATTTTTGCTCCCAAGGACACATGAACCCAGGTTCCCTTTTGGATGCATTCCTGATCCAGTGGAACGGACACTTGATGTGTGCCTTCCTGCTAATCCCGTTAGTCTCCAGAAGAGTAAAACGGGACAATGGCTGGCTAATATTGATAGTACCAGCATCGGAGTACCAGAACTGATGTACCTATCATACACATGGACCCCTGGTCTGTACATCTAACAGAACGGAACCGCTCCATAGAGGTACAAGATATTTTGATTCAAAGCATAAAGGCTTCTACAAGACAAATATATAGTTCCAAATGGAAACTCTTTTCACTCTGGGATGTTCAGCATGATCTTCAATCCCCATCTATTCCTGTTGTTATGGACTAGTTACCCTTGAAACATTTGGGACATTCAGTCAGTTTGGTTAGGGTTCATTTAGCCACAATATCTGCTTGTCACTCTCCAGTATATTCTGATATCCATCTATGTCTAAGTTCTTGAAAAGATGTGATCCACACACTTCCCCCAGTAATGGACTTTCCCCTTCCTGGGACCTAAATATTGTATTCCTGGACCTAATTAATCTCCCCCTGACTCCTTTGAACCTTTATCTTCATACTCTTTATGCCACCCTTCTATGAAGACAGCATTTTTAGTAGCTGTTGCCTCTGCTCAAAGGGTGAGTGAGATTCAGGTGTTAATGGTAGAACCTCCTTATACTAAATTTCACAAAGACAAGGTAACTCTCAGACCTCACCAAACGTGGTCTCAGACTTACATTTGAATCAATACATAAACCTTCCAGTGTGTCTCTGTTCCCAGCTACAAAAACTCATGAAGGAGCAAAACTTGATGTGCTCTGTCTTGAGGGTCCTCTCCAAATAGCTCGGTAGAACAAAGCCTTTCTGCAAGTCCTAGACTATTTGTAGCATCTGGGGACAGGACTGGAGGGTGGACTGTTATGACCCAAAGACTTTCATGAAATAGGTATTGGATGGTATTAACATCTCCTATGAACTAAATTAATTAGCTTCACCCTCTCATATTAAAGTACACTCTACTAGGACCCAAATTATCTCCTTGGCATGCTTGAGGAATGTCCTTATATCAGAAATGTTCAGGGCAGCAATTTGGAACTTTAGTACATACTTCTGTCCAGCACTACTCACTAGTTGCAGGTACTAGATTTGATGCCTAGTGTGCTGGGGCCCTGCTGTCTATTTAGATAAGACCCCTGAAACCCTGCTCTGTAGAGAGAGAACTGGTAGCCAGAAACCCAGAGTGGGATCCCTGCAGACAAAACACGTACTAAGAACCAATCACTGTAAGGTAAGTGATTGTACTTTCTGAAATAGTTTGTAGATGTAATGACTTTGTATTTAATAGGTACTTCAATGGGCTACTCCAAAGGTGTTAAGTTATAAGTGTCTGCAGGATCGAGGCCTCCGTTTGTTTTGGATATCAACTGAGAAGTGGGGAGCTTTGTTACCTGTTAAGTGTCCTGCTACACGTTGGACAGATTTTCCCTTAGTTCTCAGTGCAAATTTGTCTAATCTTGTAAGAAAAGAAGTATGTCTGTGTTTGATTCAAACAAAACCAGCTCATTTCCTCTTTACTGCTGTATTAATTAAAATAGATATTAGTAATGGAAGACCACTGCCCCTCGTTAATTTAAATACAAAAACTGTTTTGTCCGTAAGCAAACTGCGTTAAGTCCACCTCTTCTCTGTTACATGTCCAAAAAATGCCAATAGATGTCTTTTGGCCATCACTTTACCATTTTATATAGTGAGTCACTGTTTATATGTTTATCTTGGTCTCAGCCAATTTCAGTGTAGTTTTCACAGCAAATGTGTTCATATGTACAATATTAGCCTAACATGGGTGTTGTTCTTTTTCAGAAATATCCTGTATTACCATATCTAGTTTTAGTATTAAAACAGTTCCTGTTACAGAGGGACCTTAATGAAGTATTCACAGGTGGAATTGGTTCTTATAGTCTTTTTTTAATGGCTGTCAGCTTCCTCCAGGTAAGTTAAATGAAATTATTGATGCCATTAGGGCAAAACGGATTTGTTTCTTGTTTTAAGTTACTTAAGCATTTTAACTTAAAATTAATTTTTGTTTCACATTTTCCCTCAAATTTATAGTATGGTTCTACTCTGAAAAGTGACTGTAAAAATAGCATTGTGGCATTGCATGTCTGTCACTCAGTGACTTACAGATTAAATTTGCTCAGTTTAGAAGTATTAAAATAATATAAATATTCCCCTTAACCGCCAGTTGAACCTTGATCTGAAAATCAAGATGTTCTTTCCTGCTCATGCAACATCAGAAACATTACCAGTGAAGGCCAGACTCTGCACTCTATGCCTGTAGACCTCATTGTCTACAGTTGAGTTGCACAGTTATAAATGAGGACAGAATTTGGTTCTACAAATGGAATTTAGTTAAAAACTTGGTGAAAATATGACCGATTATAATCCAGATCTCACGTTCATAGCTGTGTTTTGCTTTGGAGGGTTTAACAAGAGTAAAAAGTAGTCTAAACATTTTTATCTGAAATTGGCCACTTTTTAGAATAGAACCACTCTCAGGGTAATTTCTTGGCATTCCTTTAGCCTGAAATTATCTCTTTAAACTCTGGATACATCCTGAACAGTGGTAGCACAAGAGACATCCTATTCTGTTGGGGACCACCTTAGAGAGATGTCTACACCGGGGTCGGCAACCTTTCAGAAGTGGTGTGCCGAGTTTTCATTTATTCACTCTAATTTAAGGTTTTGCATGCCAGTAATACATTTTAACATTTTTAGAAGGTCTCTTTCTATAAGTCTATAATATATAACTAAACTATTGTTGTATGTAAAGTAAATAAGGTTTTTAAAATGTTTAAGAAGCTTCATTTTAAATTAGATTAAAATGCAGAGCCCCCTTGACCGGTGGCCAGGACCTGGGCAGTGAGAGTGCCACTGAAAATCAGCTTGTGTGCTGCCTTTGGCATATGTGCCATAGGTTGCCTACCCCGGTCTACACTGTACACCATTGGCATATTCATAGCTACACGTGACAGTGAAAGGCTCTGGGAGGCAGCAGGGAAAGGTTCTGGCCACAGAGAGCTGCCAGAGCCTTTCTGTGCTGCCGGAGTCTTTAGCTGCAATCAGGGGAAGGCTCTGACAGATCCACCCTGCTGGAGTCTGGGGTCCCTGCTGCAGGGAGCTGTCAGATCCTTTCCCTGCTGCTGGAGTCTTTCCCTGCTATGGAGAAAGACTCCAGCAGTGGGGAGACAGCGGGACACTATGCTGCTAAAAATAGCAGTGTGGCCATGGGAGGTGCTGCTTGGGCATTATAGAGAACCATATAGGCTATAAACCCTAAGGTTCTGGTGTGTGTATATGCTACTCGCTTAAGCAGTGCCTCACAGTCTACCCTGCTGCTTATACCCATGCTAGAGGGACATGCAGTGTATGTACTTTACACGCCGCCATAAGGAGTGTGCAGCATAGACATACCCTAAGAGTGAGAGGGTAGCTTAAGTGTTGACCATGTCATTTCTCTCTCAAGAAGACTCAAAAGGGAGACAGTTCAGATAGCGGAGGGTTTTTTGGCATGGAATACCACCATAAATTTCATTAACATAGGTGATTAACATCCATCAAAGGCTAACCATACATCTGCCTACGACCTATAACAAATTACGTGGAGAGGAGAAAAATTGTCTTCAGTGGTTTAACATCCTTGATAACTATGAACTTGAATCAATCTGTGGTTCATACAGATTTATGCTTTAAATTAGATGAAAACTCCTAAGGAATAAAGACTAATGTGCCCACCAACAATGCATACTAAAGCTGTATTCCATTAAGAGGTTTTGACCATATCACAGCCATGAGTAAAGCACAAGCGGTTTGTCCATGTTAAAGCCCCCAAGATCCAATAAAAGTATTAATTGTAAATACTTAAGGTATTTGCAGGATTTATTCTCTTGTCCGCTTCTCTTCCTTTCTTCTATCTTGTCTTCTCTGTACACAACTTGTGCATTTGTCAGCTGTACATAAAATATGCAAGTATCTAGGATAATCTTGTACTAATGCTTGCATAATGTTATCAAGAGGTGTCAGGTGGCATTTTAATGCTTTGAGTAAAGGAGTATTGTAATGTCCCAGAATCCCAAAATGGCAATATAGTATTACTTTCCTAAGTTGCTTCTATATTCCTTTTATTAAAAATAATAATAATAATCCCTTCCCCCTTCTGTTACGATTTAATTTCCTATTCATTCCTCCCATTTTTCAATCCTGGGAAGATATGTTCTTATATTGCAGTGATGATGATGATGATGTATCTTCAATTTCCTATAGCCCAAATACTTTTTAATCAGATTGAAACTAAAGCATAACATCTTCAAGACTTTAACATTTGATTTCACACCCACAGATAGAAGCACTTTGGTATATCAGTATCCGATATATCATTTATGGTAAACTAGGCTTACCTCCATAAGTTTTATCACTTTTTTTTATTTAATTAGAACAGAGACATAATTAGGTTAACATTTAGCTACAGATATCTTTATAATACCTGTTCATTTCGGGTTATACTTACTCATTATAGAAAATATACAGCATGTGACACACGGTTTTGTTTCCGTTGTCTTTGGTTAGTTATCCCAAACACAATTACATGGGATCACTTGTGATATTAATTTCTAGAGGATTCAGCTAATTGTAGTAATGAAATATTTTTGCACTAATTATATAATGCACAAATATCTGTTTAGCAATATTATGGTACTTCTGAGAAGTATTGCAGAAATTTGGAACAGTTAATATATCACGTTCTCGCTTTTCCATATATGTTTTAACTTTGAACAAATTATATGCTTTAATAGTAAATATATTTTCATATATTCATAGTAGTAGAATAGCTTGATGATCAGGCATTTTAGTCTGTTCCCAGCAGCTGTGAAATAGTGGTCAACTAAAAGAATACTCTGGGTACTAAGCAAATGAGCTGAGCAAGCATACATCGTTTTAAGAACATTGAGTTACCCTCAACCCAGATCTCTCTTTTGGTGACTAATGGAATTTTTGTGATCAGTAAAATGCATTGATACCCACTTAAGTTTTTACATATTCTAAAAGGCAGCTTCAGCCAGTTACTTGTACTTCAGAATCTATACACAATAGTGTATGGCCCATGTTTAGACAGCTGGCCAGGCTAAATTATGCTTGTGTTCCAAGCACAGGTCTGGGAATTGAACTCCAGAGTTGTAATCCATGCTCTGACACACACTTTTCTGGTTGCCTTGGAAATTCACATAGTTTCTGCATTGGTAAAATTTGGGGGATGCTTGCTTGCCTCAGGAGGATGCTGTAAAATGCTTTGATACTGTCAACTATTAAATACTTTAGTCAAGGGACATAATTGTATATAGATAGGTTATTTCTAGTCAATAAAAAGGAATATAAAAAACATTTGAAGTCTGGAATCTTTAAGACAAGAGAAAACAAATTTATTTTTCCTCGTTTAATAGCTACATCCCAGGGAAGATGCCTGCATCCGCAGTGCCAACTATGGTGTCCTTTTAATAGAATTTTTTGAATTATATGGACGTCACTTCAATTACCTGAAGACTGGAATCCGAATAAAGGATGGTGGTTCATATGTGGCTAAAGATGAAGTGCAAAAGAGTATGCTGGATGGCTATAGACCATCAATGCTATATATTGAAGATCCCCTACAGCCAGGTATCATAGCTTAATATGCAAAATGTCAAATATAGCATACTGACTATTGTCAAAAATTTAACCCAAAGGAGTCAAACAGGAAAAGTAATTGCTTTAACTATTTTTTTAAAAAATCCTCATTCCGTTTTTGAAGTGTGTGTTTATGAATTCCAAGAGAAAATGTTCATTTTATTTATAAAGCAGTCCAGAAATATGGGTTAGCCTGTCATCTCTGTAGAACCAAAAGGACACTATGGCATGAGTTAGTGACCCGAATACCTAGTGATTTCACTGTGTGTTGTTACAACACTGATTTTCCATTAATAGGGTTCAGTTTTTGGTATAATTGACAGTGACTAAAGGGTGATCATTGCTATTACAGAGGCTTATTTATCTGAAACCTCATGTGGAAGATGACATAAAAATAGGTGTATGTATGCTTTATACAGTATATGCTTTGTGTGGATTTTCCAATTTTGACATCTACTTGTATCATAGATTCCAGTTACCTCTGGGCTTTTAGATTCCTTTGTGTATTTTTCTCAGTTCATTAATGTTTGAATTTTTATCCCCCACAAGAAATGATTTAAGGTGGGTCAGGATTTCAAAGAAAGCAAATCCTTTTTTCTAAAAGCTCATTTTTCTGTGAGCTCTTACTCCAGTGTTTCAAAGTCAGTAAGCATTGCATAGAATTAATGGATTATCTATGTATTTATTTTTAAGGTAATGATGTTGGGAGGAGTTCATATGGTGCCATGCAAGTGAAACAGGCCTTTGATTATGCATATGTTGTTTTGAGCCATGCTGTATCACCAATAGCTAAATATTATCCCAACAATGAAACTGAAAGGTAAAAGTTTAAATGTCAAGTCAAACCATTAGTTACATATATTCCTGTGTATTTAAAACTAATCCGTGCTTTGTTTTTTTTTTGTTTTTTCTTTCACAGTATATTAGGTAGAATAATTAGAGTAACGCAAGAAGTGGCCTCATACAGAGAGTGGATATCAAAGCATTGGGGAATGCAGAGTAGGACTGAGTCTTCATGCAATGGTAAGGTTTGGCTACCCAGTGTGATGCTTGCTTTGCAAGCTTTTGGCATGGTCGGCAATGTAAAAAATTTTGCTGCCTTTGACCCAGATCAGTTAAAGGGCATAGTCTAAATATGAACAGTGCATTTTACATTTCATCTATAACTAAAGAAGTGGCTTCTGTCTATATGTAAGAAACAGGAACAGTTTAGTTTTATACAACAGTGACAATTGCCTTAACACAGTCTACCCTGTTTCGATGTGACTGATTCTCCCTCTACTCTTGCTCCTTATTTTACCAATTTTCACAAAAATACCCAGGGCAAGATTTTCAGAAGAGCTCTGCACCCAACAATTCCCATTAGGAACCCAAATAAAGAAGCCAGATTGTTTTGACTGAGCACCCAGGGGATCCCACTGAGGGGAAAATGGGTGATGAGCACTTTATAAAACAGGTCATTTTATTTAGACTCGTAGATAGCTGAGCACTCTTGAAAATCTATCCCAAAACAATCCTATCCAAGACAAGGAGAGGTAATTGATAGACCACAGAAATGTTTTTTCCCTTTTGAACTTTCATGTAGTTGGGCTATGCATAGTTGGTGGCAGTTTTTCATCACATACCGTAGTGGGGTTTTTGAGTATGGGTCCAGTCCTGAAGCTCTTACTCATATGTGCAGTTAATTGACTTCAGTGGGACTCCTGAGGAAATGCTGTGCTATATTTACAAAATGCAGCACTTAATAGAAATTAATACTCTTTCTTCCATTTACTCTTTTATTCCAGGTAATGGAGTAACTTTGATAGTAGATACTCAGCAGCTGGACAAGTGTAACAATAATCTCTCTGAAGTGAATGAAGCACTGGGGAAATCTAGAAGTAAAACTTCAGAAACACTCAGTAAACATTCTTCAAACTCTTCATCAGGTCCATTGTCTTCCTCATCTTCCACATTGTCCAGCTCTAGTGATGTAGTAAGTATTAAACATTTTTGTTTGAAACTTGATTAGATTTTTTTTTCTCTTTTTGTATATGTACACAGTGTAACAATATAGGCATAGCCAATCATTTCTTACATATCTCAGATTTGTGTAAGGGGAAGCTCTTCATATAATTCTTATTTATTCTAATGAATTGTTTTGCCAGAAAACACATATCTGACATAATGTACCTCTACATTTGTATGAAAAGTGCTCTCCCTTATATGAGTACAGTCACATTCTTTGCCTTCTTTTCATCTGTAAAATACCTGTGTTTCAAAAGAGATAGGTAGAAATAAATATGATGTAGGAAAAATTTCAAAAATGCCTGATAAACACTTGTTTGAATAGACTCTCCATTTTTATTTCTTTAATCTGGTTTGATATACTAATTTAAAGATCTCACGGAATCAGTCATGCATCAATGTATTTGCAAGCCAGTGCCCATTTGTTGGTTGTTTTGAGAGTCCTGGATTAAGAGAATTAATATTTAGCAGGACCAGCATGTTTATCTCCTCAATTTTGTCCACTTTAGTTTTATTTAAAACATATAAATTTACTAATACCTATATTTGCATGAAGGATTCTGACGGAACACCATGCAAAACCTCTAAACAGTTGAGTTGCCATCAATCTACTACAAACAGAGTGGGGTCACAAGAAATAGCACTGGAATCCTCCCAGTCCAGTGGGAAAAGGCAAGGCAGCCAAACAGCTAATTCATCCAACAGCACAAACAAATCTCAGGTTTGTGAAATGTTTAAAAGAAATCTTAAACGTTTTAATTACTTTAATGGTATCTGTTCTCCTGAAAGTATGAAGACCTTATGGAAAGGACAGCTTGTGGTGAAAATGTGGAGCCTTTTTTTTTTTTTTTTTTTTTTTTTTTTTTTTTTTTTTTTTTTTT